GGTACCGGAGAAAAAAAAAAAAAAAAAAAAAAAAAGAGTTTCAGTGATGGCTAAGAAATTGCTATTTCAGTCTTGAAAATTGCCTTTTTCTGCCAGAAACACTGAGCAAGGAAATCAGACCATCTGATCTTGCTGGATTGGAAAAAATTACTCAGGTGCTGAGATGGCCTCTAAAATTTGATTCCCTTTCTCCCTGACAATATGATAAAAACTAAACTTTGAGTTCCCTCATCAGAATGTTTAATCGACTACCACAGAAAGACAAATTGTATTATTTGTAAATGAAGACGCCCAAAGGGTCTGAACTTTTTTTCCCTCTGTTGTGGTGTAATTCACATAACTCAATTTCATAGCATGTTAGATTTGGGAGCCTAAATCAACTCATGCGTTTAGGGCAGCTCTCAGGGCAAGAGCTCGGTCTCCTATTTTTAGACCCCAGCTACTCTATTAGACTTGATGACCATCAGCTGTAATGGTTGAGCCACACCCTATAATTTGGGTAGCCGGTGTCCTTACAGCAATCTCCCTGTCCCTCTTTCCTTGAGTAGCCACATAAAATTAGCTAAGGCTTCTTTACACGTCACTGTTGAGAGTTAAAGCCCTCCTCAGTCAAATTCTCCCAGGTGTGCAGAGAAGTGCGTCTATTCTAGCCGCTGCCTTTTACTCTTGATTGCAAATACCTGCTATCAACACAGCTCTTCCTCACCTCTTGGTTATCAGCCAGATCCTAGCCTCGTTCTCATGCGGCATCCCAAGCATGCTCCTCTCGCTTCCTTTGTAAAATCTCCTCTAGCAATAATACAGAGTGCAATGGGCTTTTTCGGAAAGTTAGACCCCTGCTGGGAAATTATAGCATAGAACAGGAAGCAATCCAAAAACCAGTGTTCGAGTTTCTGGCCTCTGACGAGGATGCAGAGAGCTGGAGAGAGTATCGCTACCAGTGTGACAAACAAGAACGACTTAGGTAACTGACGAAACCATAGTTTTACTGAATCTGTAGCACAGATGAGTTTACCGGGCAACCTGAAATCTAAAGAAAGGCAAGGGTCGGGGCTGGGGATTTAGCTCAGCGACACAGCGCCTGCCTGGCAAGCACAAGGTCGTGAGTTCGATTCCTCGTACCCGAAGAAAAACAAAACAAAACAAAAAAAAGAAAGGCAAGGGTCTCCAAGGAGAGGCAGGAGCTGGGGGTGGAGGGGACTGTGGGGGCGGGGCTTGGGGAAAGGCTGAGCCATCCTACCAGCAGCTAAGAAGAGATCTGCAAACTATTTTGATGAATCTCTAAAGGTTAGGCATAGGCTAGTTCTCGAATATAGAGTACTTGGGTGCTACAGAGACGAGGAGGATCTGTGTCTGCTTGTAGGCTTCTTGTTAGAAGAAAGATTAGCAGCAGGGCGGATCCCAAGAGGAAGCCTAGGCTGGTGATAGGTGGAGGAGGAGCAGCTCCCACTGTGAGAAAGCGGAGAGGCTGTTTGGTCCCTGTTGCTTAGGAACAAAAACTTTAAGATAAGTCAGTGAAATTAAGTCAGACACAGAGAGTTAAACTATCACTGGTGCTGAAATAAACAAAAGATAAGATAAAAGACAGCTGATAGGAAACAAAAAAACAAGACTTGTTGGAGGGGGGCGGGGCTCCAGGGAAGGGAGAAATTTGAGAGGGGGAAAAGGGGTCAAAACTCATCAAGTTGTGTCCATCTATGTACAAATTCCCCAACGTGGGTGGAATATTATATACTGTAAACACTCACTGATGAAGTTTTTGAGAAGACGCTGGGAGAGGGGACAGTAATAAATCTGGAAGCCCTCGAGCCCGCAGTGTGGCGAACCTATGGTACCCGTGGCGCTCTTGCTGCAGCAGGCTGTCCGTATCATTGAAAGCTCTAAAAGGTTCGCCATCACTGCGTGTGGCTGGCCAATGGGTAAAAGGAAATTTTAAAAAAACCCTCTATGTCAGGAAGAAGAACTAGAAGGCTTTTGTGGCCCGGATCGTAGAGGTGCCTATGCCTCTAAGAGGTTAGAATCATGCAAGGTAAGAGGTGGAATCATTAGGGAAAAAACCATTAGAAAGCCTCAGCTCTGAGACCAGGACACAGATCCTGCCTAAGCTGAGGTGGGGGAAGACTGCAAACAGCCCTTCCACACCTTCTCCCACCCTCACCCCTATGTCCCCCCAAGCCCAAGAAACAGCTATCTTCTCCTGGGAGGAGGACAGATTCTCAGTCTGTCGTTGGGTGGGAAATCTAAAACAAGAGTCCCTGGTGGAGACGGTGGAGGAGCAGGACAACCAGAACCAAGCACCAGGGAGAAGCGTATCAGACAGGTGAGACTCCAAAGACTCCAAAACTTACTCCAAGATGTGGAGTTTGTGGAGTCTTGGAATAAGAATGAGGCAGAATAAATATTTGAAGAGGGTAATGTCTGAAAATTATCCAAAAATAGTGAAAGTCATCAGACAAATGATCTCAGAAAACACCGAGAAGCATAAATGCAGGCCCAGAGGAGCAGAGTCAAGTAATCAGACAAAGATGATGGGAAACCTAAATGCCGGAAAACTAAAACACATTATACACAAAGGAACTTTATACACATTATACACAAAGGAACAAAACTAACACTTTAGTAGACTTTAACTTCTTGTCAGAAACTATATATGCCGAAAGACAAGGAACTCTTAAAAGTGCTAAAATTTTGAAAAAGCCAAATCAAAATTCACTGAAAAGATATATCAACATTGAAAACAAGATAAAGAATTTTTTGACAAAAGCTGAGAGGATTAATTGTCAGCCAACCTACACTACAAGAAATATTAAAAGATTGTTTTCAAGGTTGAAGGAACCTTATAGAAAATTGTATCATCCTGAAGTAATGAAGATCTCTGAAAGCAGTTAAAAAGAGAGTACATATAGACAACATTTTTCTTTTTTTTGGGTCTTTTTTCCAGTACCAGGAATCGAACTCATGACCTCGTGCTTGCCAGGCAGGTGCTGTACCGCTGAGCTAAATCCCCAGCCCACATTTTTCTTATTTTACTTGCTCTGAAACGTAAGTGACTGAGAAGTTGCAGTATAGTTTGGTTTAAAAGTGTCCACAAAAGTAAAATATATGAAAAACACGAAAGATGAGAGGAGCGCGTTAAGAGTATACTCTTATAAGGCTGGGTCTTAGGCTTCACATAGATCAACATAATATTATTCGAAGATCTGTATTGTAACATATCCAGGCTAACATGAGGTATTTACATGAGGTATTAAAAGTTCCACGGTGGAAAAGTCAAACGTACAGAAGTAGGGAAAATGCTGGTTCCCAGAGGTTGAGGGGGTAGAGAGAAACAGAGAATGAGGGGAAGGTGACTGAAGGTACAAAGTTCCAGTTACACTCAGGGGAAATTTTTCATATAGCAAGATGACTGTAGTCAGTAATAAAGCGTTACATATTTTAAAATTGCTAAAAGAGTAGATTTTACATGTTCTTCAAAAAAAACCTGTAACTATGAGGTTATAGGTATGTTTATCCTTGCTATAATCACTCTATGATGTGTGTGTGTGTGTGTGTGTGTGTGTGTATAGTTATGGTTGGTGTCTGGATGTCTTCCCAAAGCCTCATGCAGTCATGGGGTGGGCTTCTAGAGTTTATGATTGATTCATGGTCCAATGCTGGGTTATGGGTGTGAGTGCTGCACCAGCCCTGGGGCAGGTAGTTTGCATACAATGTAAGGGAGAGAAAGAGGCTGCTTGCCGCCACTCCTCCCTTTTGCTCTTGTTGCTTTTGCTGTCTTCCTCTGCCACCATGAACTGTTGCCCTCTGCCATGTGCACGCTGCCTTGGAGCCACCCGAGTATGGACTGAAACCTCCACAAACTCTGAGCTAAATAAACCTTTCCTTTGTTAATTCTGGGCATCAGGTATTATGTCTCAGCAATGAGAGAAAAGTTATATATATATATAAAACACACTCCATGAGTATATGTTTATTGAGAATCTAAAATAAAATCGAACTGGGGAGATAAAAAGTAAAAAGAAAAAAGCAAACACATATATGCAAAAGGAGCAAAAAACCCAGAAGGAATAAAAACAACAAAGCCAGCAACATGGTTAACTGTAACCTAATCACATCAATAATCACCATATGTTAAATGTAAATGGATGAATGCCCCAATTAAGAAACAGATTGGAAGAATGAACAAAAGTTACTCAACTCTTTGTAAAGGATTTGTTTCAATTATCGTGACTCAGTATGTTGAGAGCAAATTAATGGAAAACTATAGACCATGTAAACACTGATAGAAAGAAAGCTAGAGTGGCTGTACGATTACCAGACAGCATAAAATTCTGAACCTGGACTCTTACTAGGAGTGAAGACAGACAGTGTCCAGTGATAAGGAATGAGTTCACTAAGAGCACGTGTGGTGGATGGACAACTGGTGGTCAGCTTCTCACACCCAGCTGAACTAAGCGTGGTGCTGAGTGTGGGAGGCCCACTTGAGGATTGCTGCCAGCAGCAGAAGAGGCAGAGCTGGAGAAGTGAGGCTATTGGGAGCCTGTTGGAAGTGGAGAGAAGCTGGACTCAGGACATTGTTGGCACTGAGAATGACTTGGTTCACCCTGCGGGAGCTTCTGTCCTCACTCTGAGCATTGCTTCTGGCTCCAGAGGGGAAGATAGTTG